CTCGTTACTTTTCTATCTGGGAACAGATTCCCGTTACAGGTTCCAGCAGCTGCAAAGGAACTTATTTAAGTTTGGAAGGGGTGTCGTATCCCCATCGAACAATGTGTCTAGTCACTACGATCACATTTGCCCATTTTGAATGCGAAAGCTTTAAGAAGCTTGTGTCGCACCGGCCTCAGTGGCGTGCCAGAAAAGCCGGCGTGCCAGAAACGCCGGTGGCGTCCCAGAAAAGGCGCGAAATTCCTGATTGGTTTATAGGGTCATCTGGTCACATCCGGTCACAAACCACAGGGCTCACGTCAAACGTGAAGTAACGTGTGAAATGAAAGTGTGTAAAACATGACATGTAACCCGAATTAAAGGATGACGTATGTCTCAAATGATTTAAATTCTTCAAGTAGTTCATTTTTCTTAAAGGGGCCCTGCAATCACATTTAAGCGTCTAACTTTTTTTGTGGTTTCCATGTCTCTTGGGGTTCGGGGAAGCCAGCGGGCACGGAGAGAGTAACTAAATATCAATGCGTCATATTTTAACTGGACGACGCGAAAACCTCCTCCACCTACGGGGCGACCCGCGGTGCCGAAAGCGCGCGAAATGTGAGGTATTTGGTCCTGGGATTACTACTGGTCAGAGTTGCTAAAAACTTCTTTTTAATCGAAATGCAAAATATAAGTGGCGCGTACCGCTTCAATCATTTATGAAAAAGGTTCTTGTTCAGTATTTTAGATCAGAAAAGAAACAAATGCAGTTTATAAAGTCCGGAAACCGGAAATGACCCGTCGACATACCCGCCACCAAGCGGTAAAAAAGGCGGCGAATACTAGAAAGGAATAGTGGGATCAGGCTCCGACGAGCGGCGAGCGTAGAAAGGTCCTGGATGTACGCAGCGGCGCTGCGGTCGTTTACGGACTCGAGGGTCCGACCGGTTCCGAGCGTTCCGAAGGCCTTCGGCGCAGGTTTGGTTTGCTGTTTGGCCGTTTCGCGGTAAGGCAACGCGAAGTGGCTCCCGTTCTAAACTGATATTTACCCCGTGTTTACTGTCGTTTGTGGCCAATGAAGTGTCATGCCGAAGTAGTGTTTAATCGCGCAGCAAATGCAACGCGAGCCGCCCTGGCTGCCCGCTTCATACAGCCTATCCAGAACATGCTTTAGTGGCGCCCTCTTGAGACGTCGACACGAAGTGCGGCAGCCGTGACCGCTCGCTGAGCTCACTACTCCTCCTCTAGTTCGCAGCCACTCATGCAACCAAGGACGTCATAAAGGAGGTTAATTTTTTGCTTGTTTTTTTTTTTTTTAAATTTAGTTTGCCTATAACTTCTAAAATAAAGCGAAATTCGAGAAAAGACAAGTTTAATTAAGTTACTACGTTTAGTGCGCTCAGGTTCGGTGCAAAATAAAAACCAGTAAAAAAGTCATTGCAGGGCCCCTTTAAATGAAAGTTTTGAAGAATTTTAGGCGAAGGCGGGATTCAAACCCACGACCCTTCAGTTGCGAGCATTACAGGCAACCGACTAGACCTCGCAGTCACGCTGGCACAGCTTGAGAACGAGCGGGAGTTTGTTTGTGTAGCTATCGTGTTCCCCCTTAAAGGGACACTGACAGGGTATTTATGCTCGCCGAGGTTTTTAGTTTTACGTGACATATGAGAGCTCAACTACCCAGAACAGAATTTCCGGCTCGAAATTCGGTTTCTTTCCGCCCGAAAACCGCCGATCAAGAACTGGCCGGTTCGAGTCTCGCTCACTCTCTTTTTCGCGGTCACGGGCCGTTTTCTAAGGTATCGATGCGACCACCAAATTTAATCAAAGTCGTGGGTCACTGAAGGCACACACTCAATCTTAAAAATAGAAAAAAATATGAAACCCATTTTTTGTGGCTTCTAAAAAGCTGCAAATACGTTGACTGAAAAAAAAACGTTCCACAGACAACCGGAAGCATTCTGTGCGTTCGTCGCTTCGCGTATCGTGGGACTCGCGGGGACGGCGATGGCAGCGGACGACGGGCGTGGAACCTCTATTTGAGAACTGTCGTTCGCGGTACCGGCGAATTCTGTCTACCGTTAAAAGAGAAATTCGGGACTGATCAAAAGAATTGGTATTCATCCCGTACGACACGCCCGGCCATCAAGCCGATTTGCACGAAGACGTCGCCGAGCCGTCGCTCCCTTCTTGTGGCTGAAGACATCGCTCGCGCAAAGGTCAAGCACGACGTGTCTACTTCGAGTTGAATAGGCACGCGTACGATTTCTTTACTAGGTGCGAATGTCCCCAAAGCGTGGTGCTTCCCGACTTCGACCCGGGAGTGCTTTTGCTAGAGAAAAATCGCCAGCAAACTTTCCAACTTACAGTTTACCGGCTGAATTATTATGAAGGAAAGAGATCCCCCACCAAAAAGATAGCCCAGTAGCTCAGTGGGGAAGATGTCCGGTTCACACGCGGTAGGACCGGGTTCGATCCCCTGTGAAATTTTTTTTTTTTTTTCAAATATTTTCTGATGTTTACATATCTTTCTCTCCTTTTATTTTTTTTTTTACAATCATCACTGAAGAAACAAACAAAAAAATAACAAACAAATGTTGCGGACGATACTTCGCTGAATTAAATGGTATGGGATTTCCGTTTTGACACCTGCGAACTTAATGTAATCACTTTCCACAAAATGCAAGGAGCATATAAATCAGGTAGCGTCCGCTTTCCGAGGTGCCCGTATATGTTCTGCAGGAATTGCAGCCAGCCATTGGTCCGATCCCGTTGATCTTTCGGAAACTCTGCCGCACAATGCCACTTTTTTTCGGATGCAGGACATGTGAGCCAGCTCTTCACGCAACATCTTGGGTGTATTCTTTTCGGAGCCGATCATGGAAATTCACCACGGGCACTCACTACTCATCTCCAACTCCTCAATGTACAAAACAACTCATCTTGGAGTACAGAACAACGAGCGGAACAAACATAACTGCAAAAGAATCGCACGGCGAGCAGTTCCCGCACGCCGCATCGCACGCCGCATGTCGTGTCGTCTGCTACGGAGAAAAGAAAAAAAAAAAAAAAAAAAACGCACGGTTGGGTGTAGCCACGTGACTTCCGCCACTCACTCTCTTCTCTCCACTTCTCCGACCTCCGTCGGGTTTCGGTTTCGGTTTCGAGCAGTTGCGTTTTTTGGCTTTATTAATAAAATACGCTACTCTGTTGCAAAATATTAATTGGGTAGTCCTCCGACATCATAATGAAGCGCCTGGCAAAAAATGAAAAAATATTTTTGGGGGGTGTCAGTGTCCCTTTAAGGGTGAAGCTTAAGCGTCCTCCTGTAAGTTTGTTTTATTTTTAACTATCTCTTTGACACTTCCCCATCCCTTGAAGTGGAATGTTGAAATAGTTGCCAATAAAATGCCTTAGTCTTAAATATCATTTAGATTAAATTTCACATAAATAAAAAAATAAAAAGGAACGCCGTTCCTTCGAAAGTGTGACGGGATCTCGTTCGAGTTAAACCGATGCAAAATGGAACGGCGGCTTTTCTCTCTTTCTTCTAAAAAGAACTTTTTCCGCGAACATCGTTCCTTGGAACGTCGTACCGTAAAACAATGGCACTATCAACAAGATCTCACGTAGTAGAGAAAAGACACCAAACACCCCCACTCAGCTTCCGTTTCACGGGTTTATTGAATGAAATGTAAAATTTTATTGCGCGTTTTACAAATATTGCGCACACTTTTCAGATTAATATTGCGCCCAAGTTCGACAGCTCTTGTTGCCCCTAGTGCATTTGTGTACCCTCGAGATGAGCTCACGTGCCTTTGTTTCCCCCGACCTCAACCATAGCCTCCTCTATACCCACAAAGCCTGGCAGTTCGACGACGGAACCATAGAGTGCCCGGTCGCAGATTTGGAGCGCGAGGATCAGCTAGCGCCGAGCATTTCTCGGGGATGCTGGTCGTCAGCGCACATCTTTTGCAGCGGCGAGGACCCGAAACATGGTTTTCAAACCCGACGAGGAAAGTAGCGGTAGCGCGAGGAACGCGAGGATCACGAGCGGACTTTCTATCGCTCGGGAGAAGTGTGTTTCGGCGTATCGCCACAGCTTTGCCCGTCACGTGGCTCTCCTCTCATCCATTGACTGCCGCTTTACCTTTTCAATTTCGGCGGACGCGTCTCGTGGCGATCTGCCAGGCTTTGTCAGTATAGAGAAGGCTATGCCTCAACCAATGACTGCGCGCGCTTGTCTGCCTCGTGTCCGCGCATTCAATGCGCGTTCTCACACTTTGCCCCTTTGGATGGTCTGCATCCCCTTGCGCTCTGGTGTGCCAAACAAGCACTGTAGAATACTTTCCCGCCTTATGTATTGAAAATAAGCACGGAGATATACGCAAGTATTTCTAGTGTATACATCCTTTCTACACGGCCATCGCCATCTTGATTGGCATTAGAAACTGTTCCCGATTTCACGTCCCCTCCCCCCTTGGCACACACACACACACCCGCTAGGCTCCCTCCACGCGCTACATAAGTGCTATATGCAGCCTCACCGTAAGTTGGCAACGGCGAAGGCTACTGTCCCAGGGAGCCAATCAGCGCATCGGCGCGACACACGTGACTATACCCCATCTCACCAGTGGCTCTCGGCGCTGTTGAAGCAGCGGGGGGGGGGGGGGGGGGGGGGGGTAAAAAAAGGGGTAGTTTGAAACTCCCCTTTTTTACGAATTTTAAGTGACGGAATAATCTTTGAGGATGACAAAAGCGACTTTGAAACACACGAGGGAGGGGGTCAGGTAAGTGGGGAGTTCAAAATTACCCCCTTCCCAAACTGCTTTTACCCCTGCACCTGTGGTAAGAGTTTTCATGTGCTTCGCCTCCGTCGCTCTAATTTTCTGGAGAAGGCCTTAGCCTTCACTTTTACCAAGTTACGGTGAAACTAAGTATACCTGAAGCTGCTGAAGTCCAGCATTTACATAACAATAATATAATATAACTTGTCTGATCCAGTGTACATGGATCCCCGATCAGTTCGTGTCGGCAACAGCAAAGCCGTACAAATGGGGACTGACAATTGTTGGTATCGGCAAGAACACTTCCTTCAGTTCTACCTTTTCAAAACCTGAATTCTTCAAGACGAGTGCAGTCTTCCTGGTCACGTGACATCCACAGCAATAACAAGTCCACAGCGGGTCGAAAAGCCTCTGCACGACCAAGCCCCAGCTTCCCTCTGGATGGGCCACGTGCTCCACGAACACCAACCTGCCGCCCTAGGGAGTGTAAAATACTTGCCTTTATACATGCACCTACACATAAAAATATTTAAAAAATGCTGTTCCAGAGATTTGCACGCATAGCTACACCCTTATGGAACCGTTGTTTTGGTTAATGCACCAGCTTGGATGGTTAACTAGAGTGCTGTTGAACAGAACGCTTTCCATTCTTAAGGAAGTATAAAGGGTATGAAAAAGAATGCTATGGGTGAAGTGATCCGAAACCTTCAGAAGGGCAGACAATATACGGGTTGCAGAAACAGCCTTAGATTAGTTCTTTCCCGGTAAGACGGTGAAATCTGTCGTGCCAAAACTGTGAGCGGTCATGTTGAAAACACGCTTATGTATAAAGAAAACGTGCTTCGGACTAGCTTGAGGTGCTGCGGAAACATTTTGTCATTTACTATGACCGCAGCGAACACCGCATATTGCGTACGAGGCGAGCGTGTGGCTGTGTCTTTGAAGGGGCACTGACACCCCAAAAATCGTTTTTCTTTTTTTCTTTTTTTTTTGTCCAGAACGATGCAAACTGTAGTCATAAACACGCAAAAAATACCACAACTAAAAAAAAAAAAAAAAAAAAAAAAAAAAAAAAAACATTTTTTCCGCGCGCGCGCGCCTTTTTATATTTGGCGCTTTTCACTCCCGCTCCTCACCTCCTCGCTTCTTTTGATTTGTGACATCAAATATGATGAAATTTAGAGACTTTGTAAACAATATTTCTATAGCATTTAATAACGGCACTCGTAGAACATGTTTTTTTTAAGGCAGTTGCAAACTCACTACGGCCCTTCTTTTTGAAATACCAAAAATCGAAGTCTGGAGTGATGTCGCCTCCCAGCTTTTTATTTTCCCTCGGAAAACACGGCTCACTGTTTCAAAGAATTTGAGATCGCTGAAAGGGCCCTAATGATGTTCAAACTCAAAAGTCAAGCATCGTCTGCTCACAGCGACAGGCGGCAGGGCACGTGACGCACGGAGAAAACCGGTTGTTCGCGGGACGAGGGCGAACACGACACATCGAGTGGCGGGGGTTCGAGAGAAACTCGACTCTCAGGATGGATCAATATTTGGAGTCACTGCACTGGCGCGGATCGCGGGAACTTCAAATTTAGCATTCTAAAATTATTATTATTATTTTTGTTTTAATGCACAAGTATTCAATTCCAAAGTTTCAAATTTTGAGGGTAATGTCCAGGCATCGTTTTCAATCGTTTCGGGTAATTAAAAAAAAGTGATTTTGACGTGTCAGTGCCCTTTAAGTCCTAGTAAAACTGGTAATATTTACGTCCTGTCCTGGATTAACTTCAAGTGCGGTTTCTCGGTCAGCGAAAGTTGCAAATTTAACACAGATTGCAGAGTCAGCAATCTTAAACCCGATTTAACGTCGGATTGGTAAAATAGGACATCTTGTACTCAGAAAGTTCAGAACTTGTTGCTAATGAACAGGTTGCCGGCGGGGAAGAAAATAGAAGCTTAATGCAGAAGTTGTCCGCAAGCCCCGGAGGTTTCTCCCTAACAAGCAAGGTCAAAGAACCAAGCACCGAAGAAAACAGCCTTGCATCAAAGAGATCTGCAGCTGAGGCAAAAAAATGGGAGACTAAGCATCAATTAAAATAAATAAAAAGTGGCCGCAATTGAGGCGACACACCCTTTGGAGTGATCTGCTTCTTCAGATCTTGCAAACATGTACACATCGCGACACTGTTAGCGCGAATACGACATCGGCGTATTTTCGCATTTTTCTTCTAAATAGTATTAGCGAGCACGAAATAGTATCGCTTACATTATAGAACTAAATGAGCTCTTCCCGTAGCAATAATAACTTGGATAACATCCTTTGGTTTCAAAGAGAAAAAACTGGAAAAACCGGCGATCGCTTGTTCGCGCTAACAGTGTCGCGCTCTGTACAGCCGACGGCAAAGAATAGTAAAATAAACGTTTTTAGCCAGGTATCGCCACCCTATTCCTGTCGGAACCTCTTATAGCTTGGCGATCGTAAAAAGGGACATTTATAAGACGAGAAAATTAAAGTGAGATTTTGATTATTAAAAGTTTATTATCTCGGTAGTTCACACCACAACGTTTTCTTACTTACGAAGCTCAGGCAGGCTTACCGCGAGATGCGACCTTAAGTGTACCGCACATCCAAGCTTTCGTAACTTGCGGTCGAATCTCGACGTAAGCGTACGTAACCTTCGTGACGCAAGAAAGCGGTGCTGGGTAAACTAATGGAGGGTCTTCGTAGACCGTTTTCACAGCTCCGCTATGCTCACCGGAACGAAGACTCCGCTACTGCACATGCGCGGCGTTAGCCTTGCCTAGAGAGTCCCGGATCTCGTAGCTGGTTGCGTAGAACGTTGCGGGACAGTGGAAAAAGGTGTAGGAAAACTCCATAATGTTACTGTATCCTGGGACATTAGGGCTAAGCTCCCCTATGGTCGCTATTTTGGTTCATGGAATGAGCTGTTTCTTCTTTACCTCTCATTCTCGGTGACCAGATCTAAATTCGCTGGTGTCAGGCATCTTTATAAAGGCGCTTTTTGAATACCGATATATTATAATCGGCACACCGGCGAAGCAAGCGCACATCTTCACACCACTATCACTTGCGGCGCCGATCCTTTGCAGTATTGAAAAATAATTTTCCTCTATTTAAATATGCAAGAACTACACCGCTGTATTAATAATAAGGTTGTGAGTATGATTATAATTTTGGTATGTCATGCATCCTATATGCAAACACATAATTCATTGAAAATGTATATATCTTTCGATCCAGAATATAACATATAAGCTCGTCGTCGTGCAGAAGAAGAAAAAAAAAAAACACCAAGAGACACAAAGACAAAAAGGAGAACACTTCATACTTTTAAATTCTTTAACTAAAGAACTAATTTCTCTTTAGACAAAGTTTTCAAAAAATGTCCGTCGACAGCTTCAAAGTTAGTTTCTGATCCTGTGGCTTCAGAGCTTTTCAAGTTTTGTATTTGATTGTTTTTTTTCGTCATAGAATTATACTTCGGTCTCATTACACCTTTTCTCTTTCTGTTTGATTTGGTTTAAATCTATTATACCATTTTGTGGTGCAGGTTCAAACTAACTTTATTTTTACCAATTTTTCTCTCACTTAAAAATTTTCATTTTTCAGCTGCAGATGAGAAATTTAGCCAGTGCAGTACAAGCACTAGCCCGGGGTCTTTAGTGTGCGTCACGAAATAGTGATACACAACCGCACGCCCGTACAATGCTCATCCAGATCGAAACATCGGCCACCGGTCCCCCAACATATCTTTGGAGATAAGCATGATTGATAAGTGGATTGCATCCACAGCGCCAAAGACGCTTATAGGGACGAGGAACGCTTTCAGTGGCGATGATGCTTTATAGCGATTTTGGTGCGACTGGCTCAAAACTACACTCTTGAACTTCGAAGATATAAATGGAACGAAATGACGCGTTCCTGGGAAAGTATCAATGACGCAACTTTCCCAGTATTCAATGACTATAGTGTGAACCAGACTTTAAAGTGCACGGCAGTATAGTCGCGAGCCCACATAGACTATATGCTCTTTTATTCTTTGGCTTAAACTCATATTTGGAAGCGAGAGCCTAGCGAAATTGCACCAAGCTCCAAGGAAATTCCGACGAAGAGCGCCGTGTTCGTATCGGCGGCCTCCCAAGGGCCCTTTCCTGCTAGAAAAAAAAAAAAACGAAAAAAAAAAACGAAATTTTACGCAGAAGTGTTACATACACCCTATGAACTATTTAGTACAATTGGCGAACAAATGTGGGCCGGCTTTTACTTTCGCATTTCTGTCGTTCAGTTACACCGACCGAGTCCGGCCTTTGGGAAGTGAAGGAAATTTAACACTGGCAACTCTGGCCAAAAGCTCCTCTTCCAATCTCGGAAAACACGGTCGGATTTTGCGGACTGGTGCCCTCACAAATGGCCTAGAGAAGAATGCTTTTTTTTTTTCCCCCTTTTTTTTTTGGGGGGGGGGGGGGGGGGGGGGCGGGCGGGGGGGGTGTTTATTATTTATGCTAAATGCGGGTCAAAATGTATGCTAAATTTACGAGGGGGTCGGGGCTTTATAACCCGCCCCCTATTTCTTTTACCCTGTCTTCGCTACTGGCTCTCGTGGCGTTTCGCAACAAATGACCGCCTAAAAGCGACACCTCCGATAATCGAGGATGGAATAAACGCTACTTCAGACATTTGCGAGAGCTATCGATCGAGCGCGATACAACCTCTCGCGATATCTAATCACGACCATACGCACTTAAAGCCCCTTGATAAAAGCCTTTTTTACGAGTACCGCCAACCATTGTTGTGGAAGCGCGCGAGACACGTGCCATGAGCGGGTGCTCCGCCGCCATTCGCTTCCAAGGCCCGCTCATTTCAGTGCTGCGCCGCCATTTGCTTCCAAGGGCCGCTCGAGGCATGGGCCTCGTTCACTCGCGCATTTGACGCTACTTGCAAGACAAGCGTAAACATATCGAGGGGCTTTATACGCACTGGCATGCTGGCACCATCCATGACGTGGATCTGAAACTGCATTTTAATAAAGCGAAGATTTTGCAATATTTCTGAGATCAAATGTGCCTACTATATATGAAAAATGGTCATTTATGACATTGTCAAGAATTTTTAAACCAGACAGTGAAACAATGATGCCCGCAAAGGTAGGGGGTTGTTTGTGTGTTTATACAGCCTAGAACCTGGTCTGCCTCACAGGGGCGACGAGTCTCCCAGCTCTAGATGAGAAAATTAGCCAGTGCGGTACAACCGCTAGCCTGGGGTCTTTAACGTGCATCACGCAGTAGTGATACACGACCGCACGCCGGTACGATGCTCATCCAGATCGAAACGGGCAGGGGTGGGGCTCGAACCCAGGATCCCGGGGTTCTGCAGCGCGAGCTTTCGCTCAACGTGCTCCGAGCTGGTGTGCGCTAGACCACTCGGCCACCGATACCCCTGCCGCAAAGGTAGGAAATATACGGAAATCGCAGGTTTTTCACGGCTACCCGGCAGATGGGCGCAGCGCGTTTTCGGCACCACAGGCGTGTTAGGCCCGCTTCAGACGGAGCAATTTCACCCAGCAATTTGACGTCGCAACACCAGCAACACCGGCCGCCCGCGTTCACACGCAGCAACCGAATTGCTCCGACTTGCCATCATCATCATTAAATTTGATTCTTCTTTCACTATTTAGACGCCAAGCTACGCGCTAAAAACACGTTCTTATATCTTTGAACGGCGTTGAGAATACTAACTCATTTTTCTGAAACTATTTATTTCCAAAAACGATCCATTCCAAAGCAGAACTAAGTCTTTAGCTGTCATCATCACCACCACAGGGGTGTCACGTGAAAATATCGCGTCGCTGATTGGCTGCAGCCACTTCAACCGTCTTCGAACTGCTCCGAGTTGCTCGCTTGCTCGAGCTGGACCCGATCTCAGCGATTCGCGTCGACCTAGGAAAAGCTAGGGAACAACCCGCCAGCAACCTCAAAATTGCTGGAAAAGTTGCCCCGTCTGAAGCGGGCCTTAGAGTCTGGTCAATGGAAGGAGCTGGCGGAAGCCGGCGGAAGTCGGGGTGAATTGGCGAAAGCGGCGGCGCCGCCGGTGCCGCATATTCTCTCTGCGATTAACTTGCGATGCCAGAATACGCTGGGATGACCTTAAAAAAAATCACGTAAAATGGCGCATAATTTTTTTTTTTTCTGGATGAGGTTGAAGGTACATGAATGCATAATTGTGAGGAATTAGTGGAAAATAGAAGTTTTAAGGTGCTGAGTGCGTGTGCTTAGCCAGAAAAGGTGACATTGACGAAAAACATTTCCTCAAACATAAGGCAACACGGCGAATGTGGGGTGACCGTTCGGAGTTTGGATCAAAACTCCCACGGAGCCGAATGCGCAGTTTTTACTGCCGACTCCATCGTAGGCTGCGGTCCCAAGTGCAGTCGAAAGAAATTTTGAGTGCGTTCTAAATACCGCGCCGTAACGACGTCACGTGCGTTCCACTTTCAGTTACGAAGGGTCACGAATTTCAACTCTAGTGTGCCGAAAGTAAACACTTGAATACATCCTTACCTAGAAATTGTGATTGAAGGGTATTTGTTAAGATCATTACCTCCGATAGGGGTATATTTGAGGCTAGTGGTTCGTCACAAGAGCTGCCAATCATCGCGCCTAAGGTCACTGAAGCAATTTCGGCCAATGACGTGCCCTTATTAATGCAAAAGCATTAACTGTCTCTTGGAGCGGAGCCAGCGGCGTTTGTAACGCCGCGAAGAACGTGAATGACGTGAGATAAATTTCCATTCTCCCACTGGCTGAGCGAGACGGCTCCTAGATAGCCATTGGATGCGACATCTCATAGTTCCAAACGACGCCACACCACAGAGAAGTCCTCTTCCTGGCGCAGCGGCCCGCGCTCCAGTAAAAGGAAGAGTGGGGCGCGCGCTCGGCCGCCGCTCTCGTGTCAGGCGTTGCCGGAGGGAGGGGGGAAGGGGGAGGAGGCTACGGCTGCTTCGGTTCCTCTCGACGCCGAGGAACATGCGGCGGCCGCAACCTCGGCAGTCACCAAAGCGTGGCCGTCCACGCCAGTACACCACAGACGAACTACGGGAGCGGAAGGATGGCATTCATGCTTTCACATTCACAACCCATAAATATAAGCTTAGGTGTCTTCAGAATTTGTTTTCGCCCTATTCTCGCCAATTCATCACCAAACCCTCTATATATTCGGCTCTGCTCTGCACGTAAGAGACCACAAGAGGTCGTAGCGCAGTCGGTCGTAATAAATCGCCCTAATGAGTTTGTCTTGCAAGTAGCGCCAGATGCGCCAACGAACGAGGCCTGCGCCTCGTGCGGTCTTAGGAAGCAAATGGCGGCACTACAGTGAAATGAGCTGCCCTTGGAAGCGGATGGCGGCGGAGCTCACTCAACAATGACTGTCGGTACTTGTAAGAAAGCCCAAGCGTGGCGTTTCATCGAGGGACTTTAGGTCGTAAACAGTCGCAAGTGTTTGAATGAGCTTTAAAGGGGAAATGCAGCAGGATCAGGTCGCATGCACAGTGCGTGATTGGTTAAACCAATGATAGCAGACGCACAAAGATGACGACCGCCATAGCAATACACCTTTGGGTCTGCTTGACTAGGTCTATCAAGTTGCAGCGTTGGCTGCGGCTGGACTTCATCTGAAACTGAGCATAGACGGCGAAAGAAGGCCACAACTACGAACTCACACACCTTCGACAGCACCCTTTTGCACTCGGCGAGGACCTTTCCCACTTCGGACACGGAGCAAAGCACGTAGCTGAACAGCACGACGTCGAAGTGACCGTCGGGAACCCCTCGCATGTCCTCGGCATAGGCGTGAATCCACCGCTCCATTTCCACGTTCGGGTTCTTCTTCAGGTTTTCTCGGAAACCTTCGCCGAACTCTGCGTTGGGGTCTACGTTCCAGTACTTCACCTTCCGCTTCATGTGCTCGAAGTTGTCGCCGGAGCCTGCACCGATCTCCAGGACCCTGATGAAGCCCTCCTTCTTGAGCGTTTCGTCGTGGGACACCATGTCGTTCAGCTGAGAAAACGCTTGCCGACGAACCCCGATCATTCGGTCTCTCAGCAGGTAGAGCCCCCCGGGAAGGGCGACGCGCGCGAAGAAGAATTCGCGGAGTTTCTTATTCAGTTTGAACGGCACCCAAACCAGAAATCCAAGCGACAAGACTGCGTAAAAAAAAAAGTCCACAGCGAGGTTGCCCAGCCTGCTCATCGTGAGCCTTTTCCGAATCAAGCAGCTTTCTGCAGAACCTCCTCGTTAACGTCTCGCGGGACGAGTATCTCAAAATCCTAGGCACTGCAGGTGGGCGGTGCCAAAGAAAGAACAAAATCAAACAAAAGAAAAGCGCGCCGACGCCTACTGGTCTTTGTGACTGTGACTGCGGAAAAACACACGTCTTCCTCCTCTTTTAAAATAAATCAGTCGAGAGTCAGCGCTCTTTCGCCCTGCCTGTCCTTTCTCTTTCTCCGCGTTCTGTTCGCTGTTTTATCATGTTTACGTCTCTGGACCCTATTTTTTCCCTCGACGCGCGCGCTTGAGCCAATCAGCGAGCGACCGGACGTGACGTGTCGCCTTTTTTTCCGGTTGGGGCATTCTTTCGGCGGTTTTTATTTTCCATTCAAAATGAAGTTGAAAAAGCAGAGGGCTCGAGGAATGCACGCAGTCGTTAACCCTGAGTTCAATTACCACATCTACCCGTTTCGATCTGGATGAGCATCGTACCGGCGTGATGTAGGATGCTCATGACGTGATGCACGTTAAAGAACCCTGGCTAGTGGTTGTACTGCACTGGCTAAATTTATCATCTACAGCTGGGAGACAAGTCACCCGTTGAGGCAGACTAAGTTCAAGGCTGTATAAACAACATACACAAACCCCAATTGTATTTTTTTGGTGTGTGTGTGTGTGTGTGTGTGTGTGTGTGTGTGTGTGTGTGTGTGTGTGTGTGTTTTGCACGCAGTCGCAAAACGTGGCTGGAAGTATTTCAGCGTGGAGAGAAGCAAGCCTATTGGAACAACTGAACGTGAGCAGTGTTTTATGTTTGTGGCGGTCACGACGGCGTGGAACTAATTTTCCTCATTCGCGCGAAAGCCGCCACCGAACTTCGCAGTGTGTTCCGACCTCCGACTGTGCGGGAGCGGTCACTCCTAATGTGGTTTGTGAACTATGTGTGTGCACGCCACCATTACGGAATACAAAAGTTATCCTTCAAAAATACTATCGCACGAACTGCGTGCAGTGCTATAAGAAGTACGGACGCGCGGGCGTAGCACCGTGCTAAGCTTTGCTTGCAGAAAAACGCAAAAAAAGGGCACCTTCTGAAGCTGCGCGCTCGAAGTCCATGTTTCTCACATATGCTGCACACAACTGGAGTGTAAACGTATATATAATCATCGCCACTGTCCATCACTGAAGACGGTTGTCTCCGAGCTCATATGCAATCGCGAAGGCAAGGCAACAAGAATTGTACGAAGCAGACGAATGAAAAATTCAGTGTTTCTCGACAAACGCGAGGTTCCCCGAGAAGACACCGACGTCGGATGGTCCTATGTGACTGCTTCGTCTTTTTTGACGGCGGCGTCGATGTGGACCGCCACGCGCGTATTCGCTCAGCGTAAATGCGCCTTCAGCGGCTGCTATCCCTTTTTTTAATTTTTTATTTTTTTATTTATTTATTTATTTATACTGTTAGCCCGTAGGGGCTGTTACAGGAGTGTAACAGATATACAAAACAGAACACTAAGTAGTACATATGAAGGCACATTTTTGAACACTACAACTCACGAAAGACAAGAGTACACTATTTTGGTAAATCACACTGAATACACAACAAAAACATTTTTACGTATAATATCTTCTCAGTGCTAAAACTTACAAGAGCGTACGCTGCTGAGCGCGCAAAAACAACATCGAACAAAGGCTGATAAAAAAAAAAAAAACAAGAACACATGAGCAGATAATAAATGGAGTCACGGAAGTCCCAATCCATTTAAGTATCAAAAACATATAATCTAAATTATCCAGTGCCAGAGGGAAAGGTTCGTTAGTATTGATTATACAATTTAGAAATGCATGTTTCAAAAGAAGCTAGGGTATCACTTAATACTATTTCTTTGGGGAGGTTATTCCACTCTGATACAGTTCTTGGAAAGAAAGAATACTTATAGGTATCATTATTTGGTTTCTCTAAATTTATTTGACATGGATGAGTACTTCTTAGATGCCTAGATACACGGGGCGTTATATAGTTACTTGTATTAAGGTTAAACATTTGATTTCTCAACAGGAATAGGAATTTTAAACGAGCTATTTTCCGCCGATCAGAAAGGAGGGGAAGACTTAACTGTTTAAGCATTTCATTTACTGATTCGGTTCTTCGATACTTCGACAGTACAAACCTAGCAGACATTCTTTGCATCCTTTCTAATTTGCTTATTTGGTAACTTCTGAAAGGATCCCAGATAACAGAAGCGTATTCTAAAGTTGGCCGTATTAACGTTTTGTATGCAGTTAATTTTGTTTCAGGTGGAGCGTACTTAAGGTTGCGCTTAAGGAACCAGAGCTTTTTTTTTGGCTGCGGAGCAGACGTTGTCAATATGCGCGTTCCAGCTTAGATCAGACGATATTGTAACGCCCAGATATTTAAATTGAGTAACTTTAGTCAAAGGTTGGTTATCAAATTCGTACACAAATGGAAGAACGTTTTTCTTTTTGTTAGTTATCACAGAAAAGACTGTCTTGTCACGATTAATTTTCATTCTCCATTGCTTACACCATTCTCGTACTTGCTGTGAAGAGTAATTTAACTGTACCTGATCATGGTGAGAAGAAACATTTGTATACAACAAGCAGTCATCTGCGAACAACCGAACAGTAACATTAGGCCCTACTTTTTCCGTAATGTCGTTTATATAACACAAAAATAATACGGGCCCCAATACAGACCCCTGGGGATCGCCGGAGGGTACACTTACAATAGCTGAATTCTTTTTGTTTACTTGCACATACTGTGTTCGATTTGTGAGGTAGGCTTTAATCCACAAAACAATGTTTTCATTTACCCCCAGGTTTTGTAATTTATGAATAAGTTCAAAATGAGGCACCCGATCAAAGGCCTTTGATAGATCCAAACATATCGCATCAATTTGCCCTCTATTATTAACAGCTTTGGCAAAGTCGTGTACAGTTTCAGCAAGCTGTGTTACAGCCGAGAGTGACTTTCGAAACCCATGTTGGTTAGAAAAAAAATATGTTTGAATCTTCAAGAAACCTATACAGCTCCTTAGACACAATATGCTCAAGTATCTTGCAACAAGCACACGTCAGCGATATTGGCCCATAATTTTTAACTGAATGCTTATCTCCCGATTTGTGCACTGGTACGACTCTCCCTGTCAGCCAGTCCGAAGGTACTTGATGGCGCTCTAAACTTTTACTGAAAATAACAAATAGGTACTTGGACACCCACTCCGCGTAACGCTTTAAGAATGCGTTGGGAATTTCGTCTGGTCCCGGTGATTTTTTTGTGTCGATCTCTAGTAGTATACTACTAGAGATGAGCAGGGTATTTTTGCTTTATAAAGCAGAAATACCCTGCTCAGAGATAATCAGATCTGGCATAGCCGAGAGCCGCGCGCTCCTTATCTCTTCAACGCTTTTATGTGTGTTTTCACTATCTACAAAAACAGATTGAAAAAAATTATTAAACACGTTTGCCATTCTGGCGGGATCAGTAATGATACGGTCATTATCGGTGACATATTCCACACCCACCCGTGACGGCGCGAGACGACGCCAAAATTTTTGTGGTGATGTCCTCATAAATTGAAGCATGGATTCTGAAAAATACTTTTCCTTTGCGTCCTTTAGTTTTTATTTCAGCGTGCGCGATAGTTCTTGAATAAGTGTGGTATTACGAGTTTTTTTCTTGCGGCTGCGGGCTATCTTACGTTTGAGTTGAATTATTTCTCGGGTAACCCACGGGTTTTGTCTTGCACGCGCTTAACCCTTTTTGGAACGAATCTACCCAGACAGAAGAAAACTACGCTTTTAAATTGATTCCATTATTCATTTAAGTCTTCCAGGCCCTCTAGAGAAGAAAGTTGTAATTCTAAATGGTCGAGAATACTGACGTCATCGGCTCTGTTAAAGTTATACACTTGCGTGGTTAAGCACTTTGCGGTTCTGCACGTTGTTGCGACTTTGCAGGGTAGCAATACCATCTTGTGATCTGACAGTCCGTCTTCAACGCTTACTTCATAATTTGTTATTTGTTCAGAGACAAAAATTAAGTCAAGTATAGAACTAGATGACCCAGTTATTCTAGTAGGTTCTTGAACCACCTGCACGAGATCGTTACAAAAAGTGATGTCCAATAAAAGTTCGCCATTGTTGGTTTCAGTTGGTCCTGGTTCTACGTCATCCCATTTAACTCCGTGTAGGTTAAAATCACCAGCAATTATCATCTTGGAGTGATCGGTCACATTTTGTTGTAGGTAATCATGAATAGCCTCCAGAAACGTAGTTGGGGAATCAGGAGCTCTATATACTCCACTAATCACATAGGTATGTCCACAAAACGTCATTTTGCACCACAAGCTTTCAGTATCAGCGCAGTCGGCCATCAAGATGCAGGCTATGTTATTCTTATAGATAATAGAAACTCCACCTCCACGGGATCCTCTGTCTTTCCTGATTATTTTGTAGGATGGCGGAAGAAGCTCGGAATCAGTTATCTGGTCGTGCAGCCAAGTTTCAGTAACAACAACAATATGAGGGTCATGTACTAAAAGTAGGTGCTCCAATTCGTCCACTTTATTAACAAGGCTTCTCGCGTTCAAATTAATAAGCCGGAGGCATTCTTCCTTCTCAATTTTTGATCGTCATTTATTTTCCGACCGTGAACCCCGGGAATCCGTGACTTTTTCGCGACAGCCAACAGCATCATTCCAAATAAACGTCTCGTCACCGATCTTCATCTTATCATGTACAAGCCTCACACGTAATCTTCGGGACCTTTCTTTACTTGCACTTTGCCAACGATTCCGTCTCTTGTGTAAAGTAGCATGCGAATAATCATTGGACACCGATATCTTTGACCCTTTCAGTTTCTTGCGATTCTGGAGTACTTGAACTTTTTCACTGTAATCATACAGTTTCATGATGACAGGGCGACATTTACCTTCATTTTTTTTCCCAAGTCTATGAATTCGCTCGACCATTTCCACAGTCACGCCTAGCTGTTGTTCGAA